AAATTTATAGCTCTTGGATTAGTGGTCCTGCCCTAGCTAATAAGGGGACAGATGAAATGCTTCCTGAAAGAAAAAGTATATGTGGTTCATCAGTAAAACAGCCCATTCCAGGGAGCTGGAAAGATCTGAAATTCCTAGAGGAATATCCATCCTCACATTAGCATGTACATTGACAGATGGTGCAGCTTCATATGAATAGGAATTTTAAGTTGCTGTCTTTGACTTGAAAAGATAAACCCCAGGCAGGTTTTGTAGAGCAGCTGGCCCTTCATGGACTGGTGCTTGTGGGGATTTCTTCTTTAAGAAGCCAGGACAGTGGTAGCTGTGAGCACCCCAGGCAGCACAGCACCTCATTCCCTTTAGTAGTTTTCTCAGGAAAAAGCACGAAGCAGCAGCAGCAGATTTCTCCATGCAGGAATTGGAAAATAGCTCACCAGACTGGCTGGAGAATATATAAAATTAGAAAAACAAAGCAGCAAAAGGCCTTGGCTCAACAGCGTTACTTTTAGCTTGTCTGTCTCTTTGAAGTAACTAGTCTTGAATCACTTTATGAGCGTGAGCCAAGACAAACACTGAGGTCCATTTGGGAGTTTTGCTTCAGAGCAGCATATTAATACTCTGTAAGGAGATGCAGGGCATGTAGTGGATGTTTTCTTTATCAACAGCCCTAATCATCCCAAGTCTCTCTTGCTCACCCTCCTGACAACACTGCATCAGACATGGATGAGCTGTCTTACACAGCGCTTAATCCCGCAAAAAAAATGGGGCAACTGATCCTCACCACCAGAAAAAGTGTCACACAGAAACACGGGGGCTTTCAAGAAGCTGTCCTGGCATGTACTATCTATACCACAGCAGCAGCTGCTCCAGCACCCCTCTTCTCTATAGCCTCCCTGGAGACTAAGCAAACCAAAACACTGCTCACAGAGCACGGCCATTGAAAAGGACAACTATAAAAGGGACTTGCTGACTAGAGCAACCGTTTTCAGCAGTAACAGTATGTTTAGTTAGGAAAACCCTTGTCTTTCTACCCCTTCACATATTTTCTGTAAGTGTTAGGAGACAAGCCCTGACTTGGACTTGGCTCCTTATTCCTACAGCTGGCCTTTCAATAAGTAAAGCCTTGCTCTTACCACAAGAACTAGTTGCAGGCCTGGATTATCCACGCAGGCATGTATGTGATCCTGCTTATTATCTGTGCAACTGATTGTGTTTGCTTTTTTTTTCACCTTTACTATCAAGAGTAGCAAATAAGGACATCTCTCCTCACAGAAACAAGTGAAGAAATAAAAAATACAGCAAAAAAAATCCATTCAGTCAGAGACAGCATGCCATCTTTTCCATTGCTATGCATGTAACACTGGAGTGCATTGTATTTAGTGGAACTTGGCAGTGCTAGGTTAACAGTTGGACTTGATGATCTTGAAGGTCATTTCCAACCCAAATAAATCCATGAGTCTACAATAGTGAAGGCCACACCATGGACTGCAGCAGGAACTCTGCATATTAGGCTTCCCCCAGAGCTGTTCTGCATGGGCACATCCCTGTGGTGACTGTGGTTAAGAAGGTAGCGTGATAGCAGAGCTGAGTACCTCAGGGATCTGTCCTAGTTCCCTTTCCAGTTCTCCCTGGTAAAGGTATGAATAAACAGCAGCTTGTTCCACCTTGTGCCCATGGAGAAAACCTTATCCTCTGTTGACGCTGCAGACCATTTGTTCCAAGGTGCCTTTAGGAAGTGACTGTGCAATGGAGAGCTCTGTGGCGGCTGCTTCAGAGCCACAAGACAGATCCTGCTTTGCTTGCTGTGGTTGAAGGTTAGCTGCAGTACCCACTGCGGGGATAAGCACCAAAAAAACCGCAGAAAACAGACTGAATGTTGCCAGCTTCAATTCTCTGCTCAGTTCTGTTCTGCCACATTCTCCTGGGGCTTGTCACTAGAACACAACACCTTCAGCTAACCAAGTTTCTTGCTTTCTTGCTGTCAGTCATAAATCTCACAGCTCTTTTATTTTAGGGTACTCTTCAGATAGAAAAGAGTGATGTTTGGGCACATATTCAAAATGAGACAAAGTAGCTTAAACAAAGGCTGGTTTGTGTTTTATTGCTCAGGAAATGACAGATGAATCTGTCTTCAGCAGAGATCTGATGAGCATTTAATCTTGCCATTTCTCATCTGGGAAACACTAATATCACTCAGCATCTCGCTTTGTTGAGGGGACTTGGTTGGTTAGAGGGGAGAGGGTGATGGCTGTGCTTTACATATGTTTACCCAGGTGACAATGAAAATCCTTTTGGACTTTTCCAGCTGCTGTTCCTAGGCACAGCCTCCATCTGCAAACATAGTTTGTTTTTTATACCTTGAGTGATAGGAGAACACGAGGTCTGGCCAAGCAGAAGATTGAGGTAGCTACTTTCTACATGCTGGAAGACTCCTACTTCAGAACACATTCTAGGCAACTCCAGCTTCAATCCCAGTGTGCAACCTGAAGAAAAGCAGATTGTGTGCACCAATGTTGGTGCACATCAGTCCAAGTGGTCATCTGGGAGAGGGGGTTGCCTTCTTTGGAGAGAAGGTTGAGTCAATATGGAGCAGGGAATGAAGGCTGCAGGCCAAATCCTTGTACTGAACAGACAATGGCAAGTTGAACAAGGAATCTGGAGTTTCCAAACCTGAGTCACTGAACTGGTACTCAACATAATCCAGTGTGAATATACTGCTGGAGGCAAGCCTTTTTGCTGCACTAGTTGCTTTCACAGGTTCATTCCTATTTTTCTTTCCTGGAAATCCTTTAGTTCCATTTTAAAAATTTTGGTGATTTTCCTTAAGGTATTTAATTAAAATAGTGGTATAAGAGTTAGCACTACCTTTGGCATACAGGCCAGACCAGGACTTGAAACATTTGTTTCTTTCCACTGGCTGTTCACTCCCTTCAGGATGGGAGGGACTCAACCGAAGGTTGGTTTCTGGGTCATAGTTGAGAAGACTTCATGAAGACTCTGCTATTCTGGCCACAAGGAAAGCTTCTTCTATATTCTCACTTTTACTGTATTGCAGTAGGCTGAGGATTTAGTTTGGAAATTACAGAATAATGGAAAATTGGGCTGAGAGGGACCTTGTCAGATGTTCTATTCCATTTGTATCTCTCAAGGCAGATCATACATTCCTAAACTGTTTTGAATGAAAGGTTCCTCCCTAACTTCATTTTAAAACCTCAAATTATGGAGATTACACAATCTCTTTAGGAAATCTCTTACACAGTTTTGCCATCCAGAGGATACTTGTTTACCCTCAGTTGATTTTTTTAATACTTTGCTGTGCAGCAAAACTTGAAAAGGAGATTGAACACAGGAAGGTGAGACACAAGTTGAAAGACCTCCAATATCATCAATGACAACTCCTTAGTGTTAGAGGCAATCATGTCAGGTAAAGCCTTCCTTATATATGTACAAAGCTCAATGTTTGACCTGCTTGAACTTATCCCCTAAACGTTTAACCCCAAATTCTCCTGAGAATCTCATCTTTCTGAAAGTTAAGAATCTCCTCTAAAGTAGAACCATGAAAACAGAAGAACATTACAAAGCCTGTGAGATACACTTCTGGGTATACGGTGTGCAGATAAAATTTTCATAAAGTGCCAGAGAATTCCTTGCTAATAGACATGGTGAAACCTCAAGAGTGAAAGGTAGAACTCTCCTGAAAATTACAATCCCTGCTGAAACAGATAATGATCCTTCTGAAATTTCCCAAGATAGTGTTTGAGATCTCACAAAGCAAAATCAGTCTTCAATAGGACTGCACAAGATGCTCCTAACTTTCAACAGAACTACATCTGAGACAGGATAGTGGTATTGGGCTCAGGTAAAAAAAATAAAATTTTGACTATTCCAAGAAGAAGTCTTAGAAAGTGTGAAAGAAAGACAAAGAGGTTGGGTGGAAGTAAAGTCAAGATGGAGCTAAAAAGAAAAAATAAGACCAAATTCAGTAGAAATGGAGAGTAAAGTTTCTGAGCTGAGGATGAGGAAGATGTTAGATTAGATCTGGGAGGAGCTAACTTCAGTGGCACCCTAAATGTTTAACACGAAGGACAAGCACAACTGCCAGACATGAATGTTCTCATCTTTACCAATGTCATAAATGATGTTTCAGGCACCATTTACTACCCACACAATGTATCAAGGTATCCCTCAAGACACAGCTCCATGTGTCAAAGAATCATTGAACATACAAAATGGCTGGAGGGAGCTGTACTTAGGTATCTGGATTCGCCTCTTTGTGACACACCACTGAGTTTAAACCCCCCAAAAGAAAGTGTTGTGTAATTATGTGAGGTCAGCATCTTTGTCCTTGTCCTGCAGCAGCTGTGAGAACTTAGTTGGAAGAGCCTGTAGGTTATAATCATACCCCATGGTACAGCTATACTAGCATAATATCATGGCCCAATGCACAGGACAATACTTTCAGACAGGACCTGCTGGGGTACTGAATATTATCAATGAAGTCTTGAATTCAAAACTAAAGCAATCCAAACCATCATTGAGATGTAGCCCTCCCAGAAGAAACATTTTTTTCCAAAGCTCAAAACTCAAAATGAGTCATGCTTGATTAACTTCACTTGGGTCAGAAGACTAATCATGAGATGCTATTTATAAATTATTTAAGGAAAGTCAGAGAGAGAGCATTAGAATAACATTCAGAATGGAAAACATATTATAGCCTTAACACAGCATCACTACTATAACTTAATGAAAACAGAGAACTAAGAACCTTCTTTATCAGCAGGTGTTGCCTTTTTTTAATTTTTTTTTTTTTACGTGTGTCTACTCTCCAGTGAAAAAATTATTAAATATAAGTGAGACTCCAATCCAGAGAGCAACTGTCCAGCTCAGTTATCGGTGGGGTAATAGATCAGAAAGTTTCACCTCCTCCTTCTCCTCAGAGCTGCCCCGCACACATGCACACACACACAGAGGCCAGGAAAACCTACGCCCATGGCACCTACCTTGGGTTTGAAGGCGATTAATTTCAGGACCATCTCAACAGTGAAGAGGCCAGTGAAGAGCATGTTGAGGATGTTCATGGCTTCCTTGAACATGCAGCTCTGACCGTAGTGCTGAAAAATAGCATCCCAGCAGCAGGGTGAGGATCAGACATACCAGTTGGGTAGGAACACACAGGACCCCTCCTGATCTGCCTTCATGCCAAAGTTCTCTAAAGAAGACCCTAGCACATCAAATATTTTCAAGTAAGAATCCCCATTTCCCTCATATATTAGCATTTCCATGCCTTTAGCCATTTTTGCCACCTGGCTCTGGATCTCCTCTTTTTAAAAAAAAATCTTTTTGAGTGGTGGCTACCAAAATCACACTTATCATTCCCATTGAGGGTTCATTACAAATTTGCATACTGGTACAAGACAATCTCGAATTGTGTTGTTATCTCAACCTTCCCTAACATTTAGATCACTTTTTTGTTTGATTGCAATTGCACAGCAAACAGGGGTTTCACTGAGTTGTTCATAATGATACCAAGTCATTCCCCAAGTAATTACACTTAATTCAGGATTCTGCAAAGTACATCAGCAGCTCAAATCATATCTTTCCAATATGCATTATCTTGCATTTGTCAACTCTGAATTAAATTTGCAATCATGCTGCCCATTCACTTAACTTTATTATGATCTTATGAAGTTACTCTCTATCTTCTATTGATTAATTCAAGTAGTGTCTTCTGCAAATGTTGCCACGTCATTTTTCATATCCCTATTTCCAGATCATTATACTTGAGACTGGTTGCACTGCCTTATTCTAAGGTCATCTTCTAGTTCATGTTACAAGACCCCATTTGTAGTTGCTTAACTTTAATAAACTTTAACCAGCTGGGATGGATTTTCATATTCTGTATGAAAAGGTAATTTAGCCAAGGTAATTTAGTCAAAGGAGTTTCAGTTAAAACAATTCAACTGCAGCTGAAAGCAAGGCCAGGGGAAAATATAATACTGAGGCTTTTTCAGAATTTCTTGTATAATTTTTCTTGAAAGACTCTAGTACTTGCAGAACTCTGTTTAGAAACTTGGAATTTTAAGGGCATGTCTCTTTTGTTTGCTGTCTGTTATGATGTTAGACTCAAATTTGGCCACAGTATAAACCTTTGACAAACTGTACTTCTCTCAAGATGGATATAGAATTCCTAGAATCTCCAGGGATGGCGTCCTGCTTATGGGCTTACAAACATTTCTCAGCTTCTGGCTCTACCTGCCCTAGGTCTGCACCGTTGTCACAGAAACTGAGCATGTTTCACAACTTCAGAGTGAACAGGGCAGGAGAGACTTCAGCTGAGAGCAGAGCACTTTCTTGTGCTCTTGTTGCTTCACTCCTTTTTTTGGACCTTAGGCAATTGCATAGAGAAGAGCTTTTCAATGGGGGTGGAAAAGAGCCAGACCAGATGAAGAAAAAGTGGGGAAATCTGGTGAGATTGGGCAGGAGACAGTGAGAGGAAAGCAAAAAGTGAAAATTGCCTGTGAATGTAGATTTAAAGTGCTAGTGAGAGGTAGGAAACAGGCTGGTTTTGAGGGGAGACTGGGAGTGAGCAGACCGGGATTGATCCAGTGAAAAACGCAGTCAAAAGGAAAGTTGGTGTAGGAATGCATGGGGGTTGAACTCACAGGAAAGGACAATTAGTGAAGCAAAAAAAAGTGCAGCAGATAATGAAATGGAAGGGGGAGAGAGAGCGGAAAGATGATTCATGGCAGGGGTAACCCAACTGTGAGCCTGTGAAGGAAGAGGAAGAGAAGGACTGGTTGAAGAGTGGTCATCTGGACTGTTTGGGCCAAAGACCAAGGAAGAGAGTTCACAGCCTGACTGGGACAGGAGGAAGGAAGGGTTTTAGGGAGGAGAGTGACACACAGACCAGCTCTTAAGCAGAAGGAATGTAGAAGAGACCAGGTCTCGAGTGGCCAAGCAAACTGAGAGTGTAGAGACAGGCTTAGAAGGTGTAGTCTGAGACTAACTGAAAATGAAAGGGATGTGAGGGAGGCCTTGGGCAGACAGAGACTGGAAGGAACAAGCCAGCAAAGTACAGACCTGGGGAATTGCACAAAACAGTTTGTGTGTATGAGGGTCCATTTCCTGACTGAAAGGAATGTAAGACTTCTTTTTTATAAGCTGGCTACTGAGTAAAGGGTTTGACTCCTTCCTCTACTGCTGTTCCACCTACATATGCCACTATTTGCCTACATATGCCAGTTCTTGCAGATCCAGCTGCAAATGTTTCTTTGGTGGATTCACATTCAATGTTTGGAAAACCTTCTCACAGTAAGGAAAATGAATACAAGCATAGCAGGTAGTAAGGCAGTCTAGCATCAGTAATGAAGCAAGTTAGGCAAGCTTCTATCAAGAAAGGCTTCAGGTGGAGCTGATTCTGCCTATAATTGGTGGGATAGACAATGTAGCCTCTTGAGGTTCTTTCTAGACAGTTTCTGTGGTCCTTAACTGAGAATAAAGGAAATACTAAGCTCTTTCTACTCTCTCTCTCCAGTTTACTTGATTATCTCGTTTGCCAAAATATTTGCTCTCTACTTTTTAACATAGAAAAGACTCAAATTTAAAATTCAGATGTCAGGTGAGTGGCAGTTCTGGGCTTGTTGCTGCATTTCATAGAGGACAAGTCAGAACTGAGAAGCCACTTATTATTACAGTGGCCACTGAAATGCTCTGTGATGTAACTGTTGATGGGTTTTTTTTCCCATTTGTTTGTTTTTAAAGAGGTAAAACAGAGTTGTTGAAAATGTCAGATATTAGCAGCAGGGAGGATGACAGGTAGACCTCTCATTTTAATGAAACATCATCAGAAGTGAACAGGGTACAATGGCTTTTTTGTCATGTCCTTGTCCCTCTCCCTCAACACATGGCGTGAAGGTGAAAGTAAATCTCATCTCATTTTTATATTTTCCCCAACAAAGTCTACTAATTGATCACCTTAAGGTTTTCTGCTTGCTTACTTACTTGCATGGCCAGGCAGATGGTGTTCAGCAGGATCAGAACGAACATCAGGTATTCAAAATAGGTGGAGTTGACCACATACCAAACTTTGTACTGGTACTGGTTTTTAGGGATGTATCTCCGCAGGGGCCGGGCTTTCAGGGCATATTCTACACACTGGCGCTGTGAAAGAGGCAGGGTAAATTTGAAACTGCAAGCCAAAATATGAGGGTGGTCAGCTACCTCCAAATATAATAAAAATACAATAAGTTTCGAGTTTTTTACTGAAATGAAAATGCTTGGTACAAGAATTTCTTTTAGGTCGTAATTGAATGTGCATGTTCTACCTGTCAAAGAGTTCCATATGCAATTACTTTGGCCATCTACTTTGGCCAGACAATGGTGTCGTTCTCATCTAATCTCAATGAAACAAATGGTACAACAAATATTTTAAAGTAGTTGCTGTCCCTTGAGCAAACCTTACAGAAAGATTTTTTTCTACCTGACTCCTGAAAGACGTCAGCAAAGCCAACTTATTGTTTTATTTTGTTGGCGAGCTTCACATGTTCCTGTCTGTAAGTATTTATCTATTAAACACTTATCCTCAAAGCATATTCTAACTTCAGTGACAGCAAGGTGTTGTAAATTACCTGGTTTTTGTCCAGCTCACAGTTCTTGTACTCTTGTTCTCCTTGTTCCTGAAATGTGACGATGACGAAACCAACGAAGATGTTCATCATGAAGAAAGCAATGATGATGATGTAGATAATAAAGAAGATGGAGATCTCAACCCTGTGATTATAGATGGGTCCCACATCTTCCATGTGGGAATCAATGGACCTATACAGCAACCTGAAAGCAAACAGAGCCAAATGCAGAGAAAATCTGCAACTGCCTTGAGGCCTTATAGGTGATGTCATAAAGTTTAACTTCGTGATTTTCTTCTGCCTGTATCAATTCACTCACAGATGTGCAGACTTGCGCTGATCTGTGTGCAAACACTTGCAAAAGAGAAGACATGGCTCTTATTAACTTTACACGTTTGAACCTCTTCAGAGGTGAAATGTTTTCATAGCTGAACAATTACAATTTAGAACAAAATCATGCCCTTCAGCTAACAAAAGACAGGAGAGTCTGTGTTGAAGGGAACTAAGCTTCTTGAGAAAAGGGGATTTCAGGAGTTAACATTTGTTAACACTGCTCTTGTCATCACCTGGTTACACAGGTCAGGGTCAGCCCCCTGATGCACTTGCATGCTCATGTCACGGGTGACTCTGTGGGAGTCCTCAGCTCCCGTGGCACAGATAGCACAGCCTGTAAGACATCCCATGCCTGCCAATACTGCAGACATAGCACTGCTGTGTTTCACATTGCCCTGCTGACTCCATCGGGAAATCCGCAACATTAGTAAGTGCCTGACAGGCATTTTATATCCATTTGTATACATAATAATTGTAACAAATACTGGTATCACTGCCACAACTGGCAATCATCTTTTAGGAGGCAGAGACAGTGCTATGCGCTGTTTACAATCACAGGAACAGAAATTCCTGCAGGCCCTGAGGAATTCACCAAGTACATAATGACTACAATGACTGCTGCTATTATTTCTACATTTAATGCTTTAGACTTATTTTAACACTTAGAATGGGAAAGACTGTGCTCTGCATTTGAATTTTCTCTTTTGAAATGAATGAGGACATTGCTAGTGTTGGACACTGGTCCAAGAAGCACTCACTCTGGCCAGCCCTCAAAGGTTGAGACAGTGAAGAGGGCCATCATGGCAGTCAAGACGTTGTCGAAGTCAAACTTGCTGTTCTCCCAGCTCCGGGGCTGTATCATGGGCTGGCTGACCTCCCCATCCTTGTAGGTGATGTAGTACCCTCTGTGGGTGGAGAGCAGAGAGAGAACAGGGCAGAACTGCACCTCCAGCACAAGGCACTGAGGGTGGGTGGCCAGTGAAGGAGACTAATTGGAAAAGGTCAGACCCACCTGCATTCTGCTTCTGTCTGCTTGGAGCTATCAGTGCAGCTGTACAGCTTGCCCTTGAAAAGGAAGAAAGAGGAATGAAGATTCCTTTCCTGACAGTGCAAGGGTTAGGGCAGATCATGTAGCATCTACATTTACTACTTGGTTAACCAACTGTGAATATGTTTACATGCTCTTTTGCAGGCAGATTTGAGCAAACTGCATTGAGAGTTTCCTGCATCTTGGGTAGTTCAGAGCACAGCCTTTCATCTGCTCGCACGGTACTTTTATGTGTATGTCCTGAGGTGCATGGTCACTGAGTGCTGCAGAACACTTGTTGTCAGGAGGGCAGTGAAGGGCAAAGAAATACAAGCAGACATAAAGAAGTGAATGAATAACCTCCTCTGATCATCTGGCATGCCTCTTCCTCTGCAAAGTGGGAGGTAGAGAGCCAGTGAGTACCAATCCTTCAGAACAGCCCCCTTCGCCTCCCTGGCACCATGTCATGCCACAAGTTGTTTAGGGAAGAAGGTTACTGATGATTTCTTCTGATCACAGATGATGGGCAAGAGTTCTGCATATGCCTGGTTCAGTTTTGGAGAACTGCTGGTAGCAGAAGCCCAGGTAACACTGACAGTACCCTAAATGTTTTGCCTTTCACACAGAAGACTTCATTTCCCCTTCCTCAGGCTTCTTCATGCTATTTTTCTTCCTCCCCCCACCACCTTAATACAGTTCAGTGTAATGGATGAATGAATGGGTCCAATGGTTTTACCTTGAACAACTGAACTCCAATGCAGGCAAACATGAACTGCAGCAAAGTGGTGACAATCACAATGTTTCCAATGGTTCGGATGGCGACAAACACACACTGGACCACGTGCTGCAAATGGAAGGTAGGAACAAAAGTAACTTGCAGGATTGTTCTGAACTGTTCTGGCTAAGGGAGAAGCCCAAGACTAAAAACACAAATAAAAACATATTTATTTAACTAATACCCATTAAGTAAAGTCTCAGGAAAGGGGACCAACTTGTTACATTCCTTGCTCTACTCTCAAAAACATGGAGAAAGGGATAGGAAAACCAGAGCTCAGCTCCCTGAGATTTCCTGCTGCACCAACTTACACACTTGGGCACCCAACGGTCCACAGGAAGGAGGTTATATAATACAGCAAGGTTATGTTTAGGGTTGTAAGCCCATCTGTAACCTTAGAAAATGACATAATTTAAGCTCAGTGGTGATGAGGGAAACCCAGCTGGAAAGCATCTCGTCAGAAAAGGACCCGATGATCCTGGTGGATGCAAAGCTGATCACGAGCCCTCACTGCAAAGATGAAAAACGGTATCCTGGGCTTCATTAGGCAAAGAACTTCTAGCAAGTTGAAGGAGGTGATTCCTCCCCTTTATTCAGCACAGGTGAGACTACACTTGTTGTGCAGGGTCCAGTTCTGGGCTCCTCAGTGCAACAGAGCCATTGACACACTGGAGAAAGTCCAGCAAAGGGCCACAAAGATGACTAAGGGGTTGGAACATCTCTCCTGGGAGAAATGGCTGAGAGCTGGGACTGTTCAGCTTAGAGAAGGCTCAGGGGAATCTGGTCAGTGTACACAAACACCTGAAGGGAAGATGCCGAGAAGGCAGAGCCGGGCTCTTTTCAGTGGTGCCCACTGAAAGGACAATGGGCACAAACTGAAACAGGGAAGGTTTATCTGAACATTGAGAAACACTTTTACTGGGAGAGGTACTGAGCATCGGAACAGTTTGCCCAGAGAGGTTGTGGTGCCTCTCTCCTTGGAGATAACTCAAAAGCCATCTAGGCATCATCCTGGGCAATCTGCTCTCAGTGGCCCTGCTTGAGAAGTGTTTTTTGACAAGACAACCTCCAGAGACCCCTTCCAACCTCAACCATACTGTGATTCTGCTGAAAAACTACTTGAACCATTGCAAAAGTCCTTGTAGCTTGAAATAACCCAAGTATATAGTTTATAGAATGCACTGGGACTCTTCTAACCTTAAGTCCTTTGGCTCTGTTGATGGCCCTCAGTGGTCTAAGGACTCGCAGAACACGCAGGATCTTCACCACATTAATGGCACTGGACCTGGAAGAAAGTATTGGAAGATTTGAGAGATACACCAAAAGGAGGGGGGTGGGGGGTGTTGCTGTGAGGGCAGATCTTTGAAATCCTGCATAGCCTTAGGCTGCTTAGGGTATTGAGTCAACTCTTTGCTATGGCACTTCAGGGGTAAGGAAACCAATTTCTGATGTTATCTTGCTTCTTGTTCTGAGCAGACTCAGCAATATGTATTCTCCTCATTTTCACCATCTCTGCTGTATTAATGAAGGGGAAATGGAACATGGGCAGGATGTATTTTTAAGCAGGGCAAAATGAGTCTCTAGATATCTATGATATAGAAATTGTGCAAAGATGTAGTCATTACAAGGTATTTTCAGATAAGTCTCGAAGAAGCACTCTATTTAAGTTTTCATAGAAGAGTGAAAAGCCCAAGATACTCCAGCATTAAAGGTATACTGTCTACTTGGAGTTTGATCCTGCAATGTGTTTGACCTCTGATCCCACAAATCAGTTAAGTGTGTACATAAATTTAAGGATGTGGAAACTCCCACTGAATTTATTAGGATGACTTATGTGCTTAATTTTAAGTACTGAACACAACTATCTACTGCAGCAGAGCCCTCTGCACCTTCCAAGACTAAAATCCCGACTGAGAATCTTCTTGTTGTATGACATCAAGTCCTCCTACTGATTTAGGGAACAGTTTTTATTTTAAAATAGTAAGAGTCTAGTTAGGTCTGCAAGAAAGAAACAGCAGGTCAAAACGAGCACTGTGCCATTCTTAAGACCTTGACTGAAAGCCCAATGGACCTTACAAATTCTTCTGCCTGACTTAGCACTGGAATATAACATATGTGAGCTGCTAACCTATGATGGTAAAAACTGGGAGCTTGTTTCTCATCAGATGTGAAACTAATTAGCAAACTCCCTATCTGACACACCGAGTTCCACGTGGTCAAATAAATCTGTAAACTTATTAAGCAAATTAACAGAGGAATAAAAGAAAATATAGTGACAGAACAGCCACCACCACTCTGAAGATTATCACAAAACTCTCCAAGCGCTTGATGGTCTTAAACTGACCAAGACTCACAACATCTCTGGAAGCAGCAAAACAGTATCACCCCATTTTCCAAAGAGGTTATGAGAGGTCTAGGAGGGAACAGTAAGTCACTGAACTGTCCTGAACCAATACAGTGAATCGGAGATCTTGGAACGAAGCTAAATGTCATGATTTCCAATACACCAAGTTTTTTGTTTTCATTTGCTCTTTCTGGAAGATCCTCCCCTCCAGGTCACCAGCGTAGCATTTCCCAATTATCACCTCCCCTTTTAAGGATGCATTTTAATGCTCTTGAATCACCTGAGAAAAATAGCTTATGAATACCTCAACAGGCTCATGAGAAAAATCTTACCCAGATAAGACATGAGGCTGAGCTATCCCTCCCAGCCCAACCCTACGACCCCCACAAAAACAGCCAGTTGGAAATGGCTCACTCACTGGATCCCAAAGGAGATGAGAGAAACGCTGACCACCAGCAGGTCTAAGATGTTGAAATAGTTTCTGCAGAAGGAGCCCTTATGGAGGAAAGCCCCGTAGGCAGTCATCTGCAGGAAGGCACACGGAGACACAAACACACTTTGCCATTAGCATCTGTTCAGAAACCAAACCCACCTGGTTGTGCTCAGAGCATATAACTGTGGGGGGGAGGGAGGGGAGAGGCAGTATTTCTAACATAGCAGACAATTTACCCCCAGGCCCCAAAGGAGAAGTTTAGTCCCCATTGAAAGAAAAGAGAGAGAAGAAGACAGTAAGATAACTATGAAAGACCCAGTCAGAGAAAGTTCAGCAATGAAAATATGCACTTTGAGTGCACCGAGTACATAACATTTAGAATCAGCAAAGCAGCAGAATGACTGTTTTCAAAAACTACTCTTTGCAATCATATGCTTTTCCCTTGGATGGCAGAGGACACCTGTGAGTATGATGCTTGTATTATATGAAGGTCTCTTTAGCTAAATCGAATAGAACATATAAAATAAAATGGGCTCTTTTTTGTAATGTTTTTTAGTGCTTAGACCAGTTGCAGTGGACAGTTGATCTCTCTTCCATGAAGGAAAACCAGAATCCCTCAGGGATTTGATGCTTTAGAGCTGAACTAAAGGAGAGATCACTGCTCTCTTTAGTTTGCTCCTTCTGTTCAGCTCAATCCCATATCCCTTTTCCTGTCCATCTTCATCCACTTTTATTCTAAATGCTGTAGCATTTTCCCCTGAGTTTTCCTCACAAAGCCCAGGGCAATATTCCTTCAGACAGAGTGGTTTCTTTGTGGAGGTAATCATTATGAACATCACCCAGCAGAGGAAGGGAAAATTTTTACATATTTCACAAGGGACATTCTGCCCCATCCAGGTATGAAGGGATATTGAATACTTGCTGGATTTGAGGAGGATATCACAGCTCCAGAACTGGATTAAGTGACAGTGTAAACAGAAAACTTTAGACTGAGCTCTATTACAGAAAGTGACTAAATGAGTCTGGCACAGTCGAAGAGGGTGAGGGGATGGGGGTATTTGTTCACCTACCTTAGACTCGGTGAGTGATCTAATGTAGCTGCTTTGAAGAAATCCCATCCCCACAACTGCTAATGTCCCTTTATTACCTTTGTTAGGAACACAGGTGTCTAACTCTGGTCCTCTGAATCTCACCTACATCAGGTGACTAAAGTAACCCGCAGCAGACACCATGAGACTGTTCCTCAGTGAGGAGCTCTAGCCAGACTCCCAGCTGAGTAGTGTGAACTAGAAATTCAAACTGGAGTTTTCTGGCTCCCACTAGTAGCTCAGGATGGCATACTGGCTGGTGTTTTCCGGCCATGACTACCTGTGACAACTTTATTCAGAGGAGGGTGGAAGGGCACATGGTACTGCAGATTATTTTTTTCACCAAACATCCATGACATCAGGGAACTGACTATCAATCAGACAGAACTTAGAAGGGGAGGAAGTATAAACTCTGGTCTTGGGTTAGAATTTATACTTATAAACACATTCAACTGGGGAAGGGAGGAGGGTTCTTGCCATAACAAAGGTGGTAAAGATGCCCTTTACTGGTTAGATTTTGTATGGCAATCTTGAAAGAAAGACACCATTGAAATCAGGAGGGGAAGTTCGGCTGAGTTTAAGTTCTTTATAAACTGTGGTTCTCTCAAGCCTGTTGAGAGATTTTGTTATCTCAGAAGAAACTCTCAGAGAGTGTATAATCTATATTTGCCTCCCATTTTTTTACCTGCCTGCAAGGTAAAAAAAACTTGACAGTCACCTTGCTAAGATTCACCAGACACCACCACGGCAGCGTGAGGCTTGCAGGTGTCATCAGCAACATGAAGGGAGATGAAGCTTGTTTCTCTACAGCCTTGAACATCCCATGGGCATTTATTCTTTTGTTTCTTACCATTTACACTAACTTTGCTGCTGTGCACAACATTGTGCCCAATGCAAGGCAGCAGAGAAACACACACTGAGAAATCAAGCAATTTATGACTTAAACTTATAGGCCTTGTGTTCCTCTCCCACTTGAACTCAGAGAATATCCAGTGGTGTTGTCATAAATCCACTGAAGTTAACAGGATAGTGGGAAGGTTCAGGTACTATAAAGAACACTCCCCTGATGGAAACAGAGCAATAGGGCAGTGGGTTGGGTTAGGTTCTGCTTCCACTGAAGTCATTAGGAATGTTACCATTTCCTTCAGTGTGAGCAGAAATTCTGCGTTCAAATAGGTGTCTTGAATTATGGTTTTATTTTTAAATGTTGCTGTTGAGGTATTTTCCTTTTTTTGACAGGCCTTTTTGATCAGCCATGTGATGAGTGCATGTTCAGATTTATTGTGTAAACACAGATGCAAACTGCACGCAGGCATAATATGTACATTTCTTTGGAGGACATTATGGCTTTGGCAATTTGAAGTCATATCAAAAAGCACGTTTCTCTACAAAAATATGCAGGGGCCACCCTGCTTGCCAGCCTTCAGTATAGATACTGTTATTAGGGTCTTGAGCTGCAAAATTTGAGCAACTCTAAGGCACTGCCTGCCAGCACTTAGAACTAGCTTGCTGAGAAAAAAAACCAGCTGCCAAGTGAACGTAGCATTTAGAAAGCCAGAACTTTGCTCAATTACTGTCATTTAAATTATTAGCCTACCAATTTGGGAAAATTAGAGTTAAGAACAAGGCAGCCTATTTTTATTTTCTTCCATTCTCCTGCACATTTCCCTTGGTACAGAGCATGTTCCTGGGAAATGGGAAGCCGGGTTTCAATGCAGCAGTTTGCATTTGCAGCTACTGTCCTTGGTGTTTCAGTGGTTTGTACTCTCAGTTATCTCTCTGCACTTAAAAAGTGAGCTTTTGCACTGTGCTCCCTGTCTCCTACTTGGCTGTGCACCCTGTAACCTTACAGAAGTCATCAGCCACCTCCTGGCCCAGCCTCATGACTTGTGCAGAACAGAGACCTTCCCTTTATGTGTAGTGTGTGTAAGAGGAGGTGTATGTATTCAGAGTTTCTTGCAGAGCAGACAAATCCTGTTTTGCAAAGACTGGCCAGGGTAAAGAGAGAAATTTATGAGGGGATGGCCTTTTTTTTGGTACTTTTTGACTTTTCCCAACATTGTATCCTTGAGATTCCTCTACAAAGCACTGTTTTGGTATAGGTCCTAAATTATGAGTTTGAATATCAAAATTTCACAGAAGACCTTTTAAGCAACTACCAAAACATTAAAATCAAAAGAAAAAACAACCCTTTGTGTAGAGATAATAATGGGGTTAAAAAATAATAAAAAAAGAGTGAAAGAGTGAAAGAGAACAAAATAAAGAGAGAAAGAGAGAAAGAAAGAGAGAAAGAAAGGAAGAAAGAAAGAAAAAGAAAGAAAGAAAAAAGAAAGAAAGAAAGAAAAAGAAAGAGAGAAAAAGAAAGAAAGAAAGAAAAAGAAAGAAAGAAAGAAAAAGAAAGAAAGAAAGAAAAAGAAAGAAAGAAAGAAAAAG